AACCGCATCTACAAAATTCTCGAATTGTCTCAAAGACGACAGAACGTCTAGGATTCCAGACCTCGCGAATGCCAGCCAGTCTCGAAAACTATCGCGACTGGCAGGTCAGAAAGGAACCAGTGATCGGGGCTCGCCCGTAACAGTATCACGTGAATTTGGTTTCAAAAATACAACCCTATTATAGTAAATGTTTTATCAGTATTCTGAGAAATACCGTGAGAAAAAAAAAGTAGGCATAAGGCAAATAAAAATATATAGTCTTAAAAAATAATAACCCGCATAATTTCTACTAAAATTTTTATTTTTGTCTGTATTATTTTGTAAATTCACTTTGTCTGAGCTCAAGGGGGAGGGGGGGTTAAACCCCTAACCCCCCCCCCTTGCGTACGCCCCTGTTTCAGTGAATTGAAAAATTTTTGCACATGATTATAAAATTCATTTATCCAAAAATAATTCAATGCAAAAAGTAAATTTTAATTAATATTTATTTAATAATGGTCAAAAGAATTTTTGCATTGCAATGTATCATATTGAAGAACATGGCGAGAATGGTCGAATAGTTCCTGAGAAATCGAATTTTAAAAAATCTGACTTTTTTGATTGTATTGTTAAATGTGTGATAATAACTCACTAATTGTAGGTTGGATAACTTTCATTAAATTTACATTGAAAAGTGCGGTTAGCGTTCGAATCCCGCTCTGGGCATGAATGTTTGTTTCTCTCTCTTTCTGATCCGTGTCCTTTCTCCTTTGTGGGTGAATGTGACCCGCCCTATAAACGGGTTTGTGGTTGTGTAACGTGGGCGACGCTGCTCCACCGCCGTGGCTTGCCCACTGGGTAACGAAATATTCTGAAGAAAAAGTTCCCGAAGAATGAGAAAATTCTGAGAATAGTTTTTTTTTCAATGCTGGAATTTATGAAAAAAATAATTCAAATTATTCTTCTTCCCCAACTTCTTTTTTTTTAAAAAAAAAAAAAAAAANAAAAAAAAAAAAAAAAAAAAAAAAAAAAAAAAAAAAAAAAAAAAAAAAGAGATAAATCACATGTAAATGAAATAATTACCATTTTCAAACAGTTTAGAAATTATATTTAGGTATACCCATCTTATAAGAGTTAACTGTTAGCTTTTATTTCAAGAATTCGAGCAGATTTTATGTAAGTGTTTTTGATTTTAAAAATATATTATATTAAAGTTTATAAAGAATAAAAGTCTTCAATGTAATTTTTATTTTACAAAAACAACAACAACCAAACATTGGAAAAACAATTTAAACTTTACTAATAGAAAGCTAATAAAATTCTTATCAAAAACTTTTTTCTTAAATTTTCAAGTAAGATTTCAGATAATTTGGAGAGATGTTTGAAAAATGAATTTTTATCATTGGTTTAACTTTATGGCATTGCTATACATTAATCTGTAAAGATTCTGTTCTTTTCAAGTATTTTAATGCAGTGATGTTTGCTAGCTTATAATTTATATCTGATCGAAATAGGGTTCCACAGTTTATTACATACTATACTCCACGGACGTATATAAGGGGGGTGTCCATGGGGTCCGGACCCCCAACGTTTGCACCTTACAAAAGCTGAAGAATCCATGGCTTTGCATGTTTCATTGAGCGAAAGAAACAAAAGTTTCATCGAGCTTCTTCCGAAAATCTCCACTACGGGATGGTCAATTAAAGAAAATTGCCGATGAAAACAACTTTGAACATTCCACCCTTATCGGTCTTTGTGAAACACGTTGCGACTTAAAAACATGTGGCTGTTGAAAGGTTTGCAGAAATGCTACCCGTTGCACGTGCAACGCTTGAAACACTTCAAAGCACTGGTAGTTCAGACGTGGCCACACAAGCTTTTCAGCGCAGACAGCTGTGGACAATAGATCATTTATAGTATTTTTGGTCATACTCAGAAAAGTGTTTTCGTACACTGTAAATTTGATTAAGGTAATGCAGAAGGTGAATGTTGATTTAATCGCCACTTGCAGTTATGCGAAAACTGTCAGAACAACCATAGAAAGCATTAGAAACGAGACACTATTCTCCATACTTTTCGAGGAAGCAAAGAGAATGAGCTCGAACGAAATAGTTGTCCCAAGAATGGCCGCAAGAGCGTCCCAATGCAGCAATGCACCTGGAGATATTGCCGAAATTTACTACCGGCGAAATGTGTTTTATCCGTTTATAGACCATGTGCTAACCGAACTAGATGCTCGTTTCAAACCACATGAAGACATTCAACTGCTTCTACCCGAGAAAACTAAAACTGATGACAAAACAAAAGAAAGTCTGAAAAAAGTAGCAATAACCTTTCTAGGCGAAAGTGAAGGAAACACATTTCTTAGTGAATATGACATATGGAGCAAACACTGGGAATCAATATCCGAAAAACCGGTCACTGTTCTCGAACAGTGCGATCAACAGTTTTCCCCTCTGACGAGAACGTTGCTGGGTATTTTGGCAACACTTCCGGTTTCCACCGTGACACCAGAAAGAAGTTTCTACACTCTAAAGAGATTAATAAAAACCTATCTCAGAAATAAGATGGGAGACTGACTGGACTTGCTCTTCTGAGTGTGCATCGTGACTTGGCGGTGCAATTGGATCCCGACGATATTGTAAATAAGTTATCAACAAGGCGCAAAAGATTAAATTTATTACTTTAAGCAATTAACATTTTTATATACTCTTTGATCATTGTTTTCCTTACAATAAACAAATATTTTACACACCTGTATGATTACTGAAATATTAGTAGCCTATATTATATATATATATATATAATGCAAATTCTCGACCCCCCCCCCCACGTAAAAGCTATAGCTACGTCCGTGACATACTCTTTAATAATTATATATCATTGCTCAGTAATATTAGGTAAGCACAGGCAAAATCAATGATGGGTGACATCACCAAATTATTTGTTTAAATATTTTTTTTACCACATCATTATATTTTAATGGTAATATTTTTCAAAAGTTTTCCTACAAAACTAAAAAAAAAATGGTATAAAATAAAAAAATTTAGTTATTTATTTTGTATAAATTAATCAAGAAAATATCTTGATTGCGGTATATATGGTAGATTATCATGCTTTGTCAGCTATCCGTGTTTGCCAACTACTACACTTTTTGCAAAATATTTTATACAGTGGTAGACATTTAAAAATCAAAACATTTTAAAAGTCTCACCACGCATTGCATTTGAACTTTTAAATCATTTATATGTAGTGGTGTGGAAAATAAGTTTAAATGAATACAAAATAATGCATTGAAACATAAACTACTACGAGAATAAATTTTTAAAGAAGCGTAGAAAGTTGGCAACCCTGACTATCACTAATTAATAGCATAATTTTCAATGCTGATTATTACTGCCAATAATTAATTTTTCTTAAAATTCCTTTAATTTTTGCTTACTATAACGTAAAGTAACTAGAGATGGAAACAAATAATAAAATACTGGGTTTAATTTTCTTTTAATAGTAACAACATATGACTCTCAATTTTGGACATGATGACATAGTGTTGATTAAGACAAAGTTTTGACTATTTACATTTTATTTTATCCCAAGTAGGTATTCAAGAAAATAAATCAAAATTTAAAAATAATTCTAAAATTTGAGTTGTTAAGACTCTTTTTTTTTTCTTTTATAAATACATATATAGTAAAACCTCTTTTAAGCGGACATTCTTGGGAGTGAAAAAATTGTCTGTTGATGAGAGTTGTTCGTTTACGGGAAGGGTACCCTAATAACGAAGTTTAAAACCCTAAATTGTTTTCAGAATATTCTCTAAGATATGTAGAAATAATTAAATAATCTACCTTAAACTTTAAGAAAGATAAAAAAGAATATATAAGGAAGTTTGATATAAATACATAATTCTAGATGCAGCTATAGATAAATGAATATAATTTTTCTATAAGCATAGATACTCAAATTAGACATATGATACCAAATAGGAGCTTTCAGTCCTCAGATGGTTTCAACTATAAGGCTTACATTCCCTTACACCTACCTATCATTTGATACGGTTAATACCTTCTTGAACCTCCCACGATTCACAAAAAAAAAAAGCAATCCATTCCTGTAAGTCATGTGAGAACCTATTCACATTTGATCAGTTATCAAGTGTCTGAATAATTGTTTCATTTATATGAACACCTCAAAGATTATACTTTTGTTCTGTTTTTTACCCCAGCTGTGGTAAATACAGTCTTCAAACTGATAAGAAATTTTCAATGGGGAAGAAGCATTGAGATGTCATTTCTACTTGAGGGGTCTCATAACCTGTGTGGTCCAGATGAAAAGATGCCGTTGTCCGAATTATTTCAGGAGAGCATTATAATTTTCTATCCTTTCTTTACAATGATAAGGCAAGGCGACAGGAGAGAGATTGATTCTTCAGTAGTGAAATAACTTAATAATATTTTTAGTTATGGATAAGGCAAAAATATTTATATGCTTTAAAAATGGTGAAAAGTTGCATTGTTTTTCCTTTCAATTTAAAGCAGAAATAGTTTTCGAATTTAGAAATAGTTGTGTCCGATTTGAAGAGATAGAAAATAACATTTAATGGCAAAAATGACTGTCTGCTTTGCGGAGCCTGTACATATAGGTTTATTTATAGAAGTTTCCCGGGAAATTAAAAATATGTCCTTATTTTTAATTCCCCGGGAAACAAATTAAAAATATGTCCGAGAGGTGTCCATAACAGGATGTTTCACTGTCTGCTCAAAACAGCCTGAAATCCCAATTAACACTTTATTTACAGTTTTGAAAATTTTAAAATATTTTGGTTTCTAAAAACTAAATTTAACCCATGTAGCTTGATGGAATGATAAAATGGAAATACATAGAAACCTTAAGATATTTATACAGAGAAAAATTATAGCACTTTTGATAAAAACAGATGGAAATGTATTTATTATTAACAGACAATATATTTTTATTCATGCCACAAACAATTATATGCATGTAATATCATTTATGAAAAATGAAGACCATTTGAGTTAAACTCATGCATCAGAAGTAAAAAGTCATCTATGTCCATTGTTCTTGGTCGCATTTTGGAAAAATCGTTTGTATTCAAAACAGCTTCAATTTTCTCCTTCATATCAAAGTCTTTAGGAACTTCAATATTTTTTAAAGCACAGAAAACTTTGTAATTTTTTTCCATCATTTCCAAAGTCGACGAATGCTTGAAAGCAGCACTGATAGTCTTGTTCTTGCGAACAAATAAGATTCGTAGCATACCATCCCATTCTTTGAAATTAATTGGAGGTGGAGGGTTACGTGGTTCCAGTCTTACTACGCTCGATTCAACTTTTGGAGGTGGTCTGAAGTTATTTTTCCCAACCTTCATAAGAATATCGACTCTCGCAAGCAATTGAGTATTTACTGATAGACGACAATATACTTTACTACCAGGTTTGGCGACTAATCTATCGGCGAACTCTTTTTGAAACATTAATACAGCACACCTGAAGAAAGGTCGATGTAAAAGTAATTTAAAAACAAACGGGGAAGATATCTGATAAGGCAAATTCGCTACACAAATATCAAAAAATGGTAAATTGGACTTCAAAACATCACCAACCAAAATTTGAAGCTTGTGTTGTACTGGTGTGCACTGAACTCGTTTTTGCAACTCTGCAACCAGCCGTGTGTCAATTTCGCAGGCAATCACTTTTTTTGCTTTGTCTAACATTTTCATAGTCATATTACCAGTACCTGGTCCAACTTCTAGAACCACATCGGTCGATCTCAAGGCTGCTTTTTCAATTATACTGTTTATTACTAAAGGATTTTTAAGAATATGTTGTCCAAGTGTAGTATTGAACTGAATACCTTGCTTTTGAATTGTTTCGTGCTGTCTTGATTTCTTTTCAGATTTTATTTTTGGCATTTTAATTTGGAAAAATAATTTCTAAACTAAAATTGTCATTACACGTGTTTGTTTATTTTTTAAAGGATTACAAGAGCTTATTTCTGCTTAAAACATCTATATGCGTCTATGAAATAATACAGGGTCATTCTCATCACATGCGAAAAATCAGATGCGATTAAGGTCATTCGGACGAGAACCCGATTGGCGAGCATTTCGCAAGTTACCAATGAAGTTCTCTTCGGCAGCTTCAAATTTGCATCTGCCTTTTTATTTGTAGGCAACAAGAATGGGCACTAAATCAGATTTTTTTTTCTTGATTTCTACTGAAATTTGCTTAAATGTGAAGTAGTTTTAATTAAACTAAAAACGGCTCGTCATTCATTAATAATAATAAGTCACAGTTTTTTTGCTTCCAGCTTTTTGCCACAGCTTTTTCTCTCTGCTATTTGGCAATAGTTTAAGCCCTGGAGGTAATAATAAAAAAAAACAAAAAGAGCGAAATTCCCGACAAGCTGTCGCCACTGAGAATTTCAGACGCCACTAATTTGAGAGGTAATTCCATTTAATTTTTATTTTTCTAACTCATGGTTCTTTTGAAAATTTTGTTTGTTTTCCTTGTGCATTTATTGGCTTTCTGACTCAATAAAATTTGAAGCAGCTCTGAAGTAAAGTTTGTTGAAAATAATGTAATGTGTTGCTACGATTGATACAATTAGTAATAAAAAAAAGAGGTGAGGCTGGACAATATTACCCTTGTTCTGAATGTGAGTAATCAGATGAATGACGTAAGCTCGTAGATTACTAAAACTTTAAACAATATATTATTTTAAATTATACTAAGTAATATCATCTGAATGTATCAAATGTGTTTTTGTGTAAGTATTAAATAGTTGTTTTATTTGAGGAAAGCAAATAAAATTATATTTGTCAAACCAGTATCAATTTAAGTTTTGTAGACTAACATAAATTTATACTTTTATGTTACTTAGGTTTGCATAAATTAATAACCACGTGTAATAAAATTACATTTTGTACTAAATAAGTAATGTTCTACTTTCTAATTTTTTGTATAGTTCTGTTTTTACTCTTGTGCTTAATTTTAATTAAAACTATACCTATTCATTTATCGAGGTCAGTTTCGGAATTAACTCTGGAATTAGGTACTATTTTTGAAAAACGAAATTTTGTTAAACTATTACTAGGTTGTCATGTATAAGTTCACTTTTATTAAAAAGAACAGTTATAATTTTCTCTTGTATTGTATTAATGAATTCATAATTTGTTTACAGGTATCAAAAATGTGTCAACAGCAGAATTCAGTTTTTTAATTTATATCACCATTTTATTTATTATTAGGTAAGTACAATTATGGCAAATTTTATAATCCTTGAATGTTTCAATGACTCATCAACACTTGTTATTATAACATATCTATTTAAGGTGCATTTGTTTATTATTAGTGCTTTGAAGGCTGTAGGGCAGGGTTGCCAAATTTTTTTGATCATCGACCCCTACATAATTTTTCGAAATCTCCATCAATCCCCATAAAAGTAATTTTCTGTTAATTAAAATAAAACTCTATTAGATACTGTGTTTGTACATTTATGATTTTGATTACATTTTTATGATTTTGAACATTTATTAAAGTAATAGTAGTGTAACAATAGTTTTATGAAAAATATATTAATGTTGAAATATAAATACCTTAATATTTATGAAATTATAAGTAAGTAGAAATGATAAGTAAAGTAATGGCGGATTTATTGCTTCGTAATCAATGACATGAGCAAAATTGGTCAATTTTAATCTTAAATCCCCTCGAAACTCTACATTTAATTTATTTTTGTTCTTAGTTAAGATTGAATTTACGTGACTGAAACTGTCTTCAACCATATAGGAACTTGGAAATGCTATCATAAATGGCTGAGCTATTTCGTAAAGTCTTACATATTCTTGCATTATATTTGTCTAAAATTTGCTTATTGTTAAATTTTTAAAAAGCGTCTTTGCTTCAAATCCCCATCATAATTCAGCAAGCTCATCTTTCAGGTTGATGTCCACGTTTTCAATTTCAGCAGAAAATGGCACAGTAATCCAATCAGGGATGTCAATGTTTTCCAAATCTTTAAAACGTAGTTTATAATCGTCGCTCAATTTTTGAAGATTACCTGTATATATTTCCAAGTCTTTTTCTTTTATTTCTAATTGTCACATATCTGAAAAATACTGATAATCCTTCGACAAATCGACCCTTCCGGTTCGGATCGACCCCCGCTTATGTTAAATAGACGCCTGGGGATCTATATAGACCACTTTGGCGACCTCTGCTGTAGGGTGACCTGGGGTAATTCATGATCAAAAAATGCAAACATCTAATTTTTGGAAAAAGCTATTCAAGATAAAATTTTAATATTTACTGGAAGTTTGAGGTTATATGAGATGAGTCCTGTGCTACCTTTGTTTGAAAATCTAATTAGAATTTAAATGATTTTAAGTTTTTAGTGATCAGGAATTACCCCTGCTCTTGATCATTTCTGGGGTAATTCCTGATCACCAGTTTTTATAGTGAAGGGGCTGTTTAAAAATAATTATACAATGGTAATTGACAAATAAGACATCAAGATCAACCAAATAAACAAAAAAGATATGTTTAAGCAGCAAATAAAACGATTTGTTTAAAAAGCAAGAATAAAGATTAACACTTTAAATTTTCCAAAAATCATCGCATCGTGCCATACATTTTAGGCAAGCAGCCAACTCATTCTCGTGTTCTGCTGGAATATAAGAAAGAGTTCCCACATGGGTTACTTTTGCTAGATTTTGTAACTTCGTTAGATGAGAGTGTAAAGTTAGGTAAGGTATTTTCTTTTTCAATCCTTAAAAGAAATTCTCTAATTTTGCTTTCTAGAAGCTTAGTATCCTTTTTAGGCTTATAATTTCTCACCATATTTATATTAGGCTACTTTGTAAACTTAAAAATTATTCTAACAATGTACACACATAAAAATTAAGATAGAAGCAAGGTAAGACAAACCAGAAATGGTGCAAATCAGAACACATTTGTCTTGTATACAGTTAAAAACAAATTTTGTGATTACAGTTAAAATATATTTTACAGTTGTTCCACTTAATAAATATGAACTGTTATTTAAGAAGAGACAATTAGCTATTTTTAATGCTATTTATAAAAAGAAATGACAATGATCAGGTATTACCCCAGTGATCAATAATTATCCCATCTGTAGGGGGCCACATTTGATATAGTTTCCTGTAATAAATTAAAATGTTTACGGTAGATGTGAAACAATTAAACAAAAGTTTACACTATTTTCATATCAGAGAAAAAGAAAGTAACTCAAAATGTTTATTATTACGAGAAGGAGGGGGATCTTTGCAGAAATGTGCACATTTTGAAACCCATCTTTGAAATGGAAAATACAGAAAGCAGTTTAAAAGATACTTATTTTGTTAGATTAAACAAAAAACTATTATTAAGTAAATGTAGTTATACTTTAGTAAAGTGTACAAGCATTCTTGTCCATGTCTCAAATTTAAAAAAAAAAGAAATTTTTTTTAAATAAAGCTTAGGTGATCATTATTTACCCCAGTCACCCTATTTCTTCTTATTTCAGAGATATGCATACTTTTATTATTGATGTTATTATGAATGACATTAATTTTTCAATGACTTTTCTTTTGTTGTAGGATCTCTATAGAAATAATTATGACATCATTAAATAGTTTGTTCTCATTCACCAGTCCTGCAGTTAAAAAATTATTAGGCTGGAAGCAAGGAGACGAAGAAGAGAAATGGGCTGAAAAAGCTGTCGATTCATTAGTAAAAAAGTTGAAGAAAAAGAAAGGTGCAATAGAAGAGTTGGAGAAAGCGTTGAGCTGTCCTGGCCAACCTAGCAAATGTGTTACCATTCCAAGGTCATTGGATGGTAGATTGCAGGTATAACCAGAATCTTCTCTTTCCTCTTTTTTTTATTCCAGATATTTTGATCTGTTTCATTTTATTCTGTTCAGGGGTCTGTCCAGGCCGAATTTACTACCATTTAACGGTACCTTCACAAATTCAACTTTAGGAGAAACGGTAGTTTCACAAAATACTTTTCCTTAAAATTTTATTTTTGTATCCCTTAAGAAATGATAAATCCATATTTTTGTGTTGATTTTTAAATAATATTTAATTTTTTACAAATTATGTCTGAATTTTCACAAAATAGGTACCTCTCAGAAAAACCTCGACAGACCCCTGCAGTTGTTTATTTTACTTTCTAGGCATTAAATTTCAGTTTTTAAGGTACTACTACTCTGACTAATCACTGTTTTGTTAACAAAAGGGCATTTTAGTGATCAAAACCATAAAAGATTGTTGAAAAGCGAAACAACAATAATATGTATTCAAATTAAGGTTGCCATAAAATTTCAATGGTTCTACTGTCTGCATATCATTAAGATAAGACAAATATAGTGAGAAATGTTTCCAGTATGAGTGAAGCATGTTTCACTTAATATCACTAACAATTCATGTTTGTATGAAGCATGCACTAAAATAGCATGCACTTTCAGCACTAAAATACCATTTTTTAGGATTAAAACATTTGAGGAGTTCCCTTTTACAGAAATTCTGTGTAAATCATTCTAGTGAATTTTATGTCCCATGGACTTGAAGGTTTGTTGAATTTTCTCCAGATTTTGCACATAGATGCTTCCTTTGGAGAAAATATGGAGATATTTTACTAATTTAAACTTACTCGCCAGCCTTGAATATTTTGACGCCCACAGCAAATGGAAATTTTGCACAATGGTCTTAAGATAGCCAGAAATGCCCGAAATTTCCAGAAACGTGTTGTGACTGTGGACAGTGTTGGTTTAAACCAGTGTGGTTAAATTATTAAGTCTTTACTATTTTAAAAACATGTATATATATATATATGCAGTCATTATGACAATTTTACTACTTATTGTTATTCTATTATTTTCCAGTATTTTTTTATTTAAAAAAAAATCTATCTTTACATTTTTATACTTTCCTTAAGGTTTGTATTGTATTGATTAAAAACTATGATAATTTTTAAACTAAATTAATACTATTGTTATGTATTATTTACAGCTAAACTATAAATATTGCTGAATTAGGGTGTTCTCATGTATGCTGAAAAAAAAAAAAAAAAACGGGGAATTGTGAGAATATTTGACTAATTTTATACTGGGATGTAACAAACAGTGATTAGGCCGATTATTGAATATTCGGCGGCCGAATAGCAACATTTTATTTTAAAAAGATAAATAATTTTAATAAATATTTTTTACATATAACTAAGTTTAGTCAATATTGAAAAATAATCAAAACTTGGCTGTTTTATTGGTATTGGTGAAGGAAAAGAAAATTTAAGAAAGAAATTTAAATTAATAAAGATAATTAGATATATTTGAGATAAATAAAAAAAATGGACCAACAGCTAATTAAATAAAAAATTAGATTTGTAAAGAAGTTGAAAAAATGAGAAATAGAAAAAAATGTCTTAATTCTAAATCTCAATGCTAAAAATATTTTCCCTCAAATAAATTATTCATTAAACGTAAAAAGAGGTAATCTCTATCAGAAATGCTGCTTCAGAAACACCATTTAAAAAAACTGATTATATGCAAAAGCAAAACAGAATAATAAAAATTGTTCTTAATGTTTGGAAGAAAATTTTAGAGCTAAACATCTCAGTTTTCCGATTACCGTATTTTCGAGAAAGATTGAAGTTTAAAGTCTAATAACAGGGTGGCTACCCACCTGGAATTATCGGGGAATTTTTTTATACTGGAAAAAACTGGAAAAGTCAGGGAAATTTAGATTAAAGCCTAGAAAAATCAGGGAATTTTAAAGAAATGGAAAGCTGGAATTTTTCTCTTAATTTAAATTATTTTACCATCTGTTATATCCACTTTTATTTAGACGTAGAAATATCAACTCAGCAATACTTTTCTTGTGTTAAAATTCTCTTCATTATTACCCTGCTAAACTAGAATGCCATTTCAAACTCTTTGATGTTGGGAAATAAATGAAGAAATCTTTGATCTCTTTGGAGATTATGGCACTATGCAGTTTAGGAAGGGCAAAAATACGGTGGATGTAGAAGAAAGGATTAGGATATTTGCTTCTGTTTATAAATGTAGAGTTTTTTTTTTTAATCTTCTTTTTGTCTGTGGGCTAAATTCTTTAATTGTTCGAGTTTGTTCAGATGCTTTAGGGGTATTTTTTTTCTTTTAGCAGAATTATTCAAAATGTTTTAGTATTTTTTACTTCATAAAATTCTCCAAAATATAATTTGTTATAATTTAATTAGAGATTTTATCTTGCACTCTTTTTCTGAAATCTTTTGTCCAATGAACTATTTTTTCTCAGCAAAGCCAACCAATTGCTAGTAGCAAAATTGTTGCATTAATGCTGATTTTTTGGATTTCATGATAACTTTTATTTTGATGTTTCCGAAACTGTTGTCCTTTTACCTTAAAAAGCTGACAAAAATCAAGGAATGTATAAAATAAACATGTTAAATGATATATAAACTTAGAATAGAAAGATTTATTTATGTTTGTTTATTAGAAGGAAGGAAAGCAAAACTTAGTTTTTTTTTTGTTCTGCACTGTTCTGCTTTTGACTGGTTTCAAGTTAGGCTAATAATAGAGTTAAAAATTGTCTGTCGTAAATTGTCTGTTGTAAAAATTGTCTGTTGTTAAAAATTGTAAAAATTGTCTCAATGTGCTTTTTTTTTATGAAATTTTTTATTAGATATAAAGTGAATTTTTTCAACATTTTTTCCCATACTTAAAAAAAAAGAAAGTTTTTTATTCCATGATTTTTAAAATAATTAAATTTAAGAAAATTTTGCTTAAATATGAGTTTTATTTATATTGTTGTAAATATATTACATTGATGTTAATATATTACATTGTTTTTAATATACATGGCATAGATAAAATGAGTGATTTTTCGACTAACCTTTATAAGATGGAAAATTTTGTAAAACATATTAATCTGACTATTACAAAAGGAAATAAAAGACAATTTGAATGTAAAGAATCTATTTAATTGAAAATTAATATTTATATTATCAAGATTAAAATTAGAATAATTTTTAGTCATTATAATGGTTATCAGTAACTTAAATTTCTATCCATTTATAAAAATTTACGTCTGACACTGAAGTAAAAAATTTAATATTTAAACATGCTGATCTGGAAATTTTAAGATTTTTACTAGAAAAATCGGGGAAATTTGAAACCTGATTTGAGTGGCCAACTTGAATAAAAACATCTACAAGGAAATCATTTTGAAAAAGAAAAAGCCAGATGGAAACCAAGACAAAAACCATTCTTAATTTTTAAATGAAAGATTGAAAGCTAAAAATCTCAATTTAACTTTTTCACATTGCCCTATACTTACGAAAAAAGGACCATAAAGGAATAATGTTTATTAAATAAGCTCTTTAAAAAATGTTTTTATAATAAAAACACTCATAAAAAGAGTTAAACTAGAAAGCTATAGAAAATAAAATAAAAATTTTGCTTAGTAAAGTAATTCGTAAAGTCTATTAAAAATGTGTCCTTAAAATGCCGCATTATAGTTCTTACAGAAAAGCAAGTAAAAAAAGTTCTCAATTTTAAAACAGTGTTATAAACAAAAAAATTTACCTGCCTGAATATAATTTTTGAAAAAATAAATAAGTATGGTTCAGTTTAAAGTAACCTAGCTTCAAATCTTCAAATTTTGCTTTTGTCTTTTAGATCACAAACTAACAAGATTTGAAGTTTAACAAATATGTGTAAAAACAATTTCTAATAATGTATAATGGAAAATAAGACTTAAAGTTTATTTTTTGTTAAATTTATATAAATTTTCCCCAAAGAAACACTCAAGAAATACTTTCCCAAGTAATACTTTGTTGAATATTTGGCTCATTGAATATAAGAGTTCTTAAGAATTAAAAATTTGAAAAATGTGTGAGTGTGTTTTAAAAATTTTTAATTTTAATAAACCTTTTGTTCAATTTCTATCAAATTTTGTCATTTTTAAATTATGTAGTTTAAAATAAAGTAAAAGTTTGTGTACGGTACAGCTCAAAAATTTTTCAATGTGTAATAATTTTTATATTTAATAATATAGAGTTCCAAGAGATACGAAATACTAAAAAAATTGAATTAATCTAAAGGGTTTCAAACTTATAACCCATCCCTAATTGGATCATATTTTTCACATTGTGGCTACCTCCATATTTTGAGGATTAGAAATCAAAAACTTTTGAAAAAAATGCATGTATATTTAGAAAAAGTAAGTCCTATTTCGTGACTTAAAATATAGTCAACTCTGATTTAATTAGCATATTTAAAGTTACCTCCTTCAAAAAACATTAAACTTGCGTCTCAGTACGTGATAATTCGATCATAAGTTATTGAGATGTTCAAAATACATTTTTTATATCCGTTACCATACATAGACGAAAAATTCTCAATTTAAAAACCACTTTGTTTTTGCACTTATTAAGACTTTTTTTTTTTAACGTTCTCAGCTGTTTTACATTTAATAATATATTCAATAATTTTTTTTAAAAGGTTTCTCATCGTAAGGGTCTGCCCCATGTGATTTATTGTAGAGTATGGAGATGGCCAGATCTTCAGTCACACCACGAGTTGAAACCTTTAGAATTTTGTGAATATCCATTCTCAGCTAAACAGAAAGAAGTCTGTATCAACCCATACCATTACAAAAGGGTAGAAAGTCCTGGTAAGTTTTTTTTTTTTTTTTTTTTTTTTTTTTTTTTTTTTTTTTTTAAGGTATCCTACTAGTTTCTACAACTTTTTTTTAATACATTGATGTAAAATTTGAAAAACTAGTTTGTTTTATGTTTTATAAATCTAGCAACAACAACTAAAAAAAAAACTTTGAGGATTTTATTTAGAAGGCAAACATCTTGTGATTTATTTTATTAAAATATTTTTTTAAATCAATTTGCTTTTAAAAATTAATTATAGAGAAGATTTGTTAAATTATTTTTGCATGTGCTTAATTTTTTAAAAAATTGTTTATATTAAAAGAAGTTAGTATTTTTAATGCTTAAATTTTCATTTCAATTTTTAACTTATAAGAAATTGAAATTTTTATAGCCTAATTGGAGAAAAAATTCTTTCAGAATTGTCCATTTATTTTAATTAATAAAGATTATTTTGAAATTATTATAATGCAGTTTAAAAAGTTCAATCAGCAGTAAGTGTACGGTTAAAATATTTTTAGTTGTACAATTTTGTATGCAAAAAAATACTGTTCATTAGTTCACTCTAAAATTAGTTGGTAATTCTTTTTGTTTGTGCTTCTATTTTTACATTTTTAAAAATGTAATAGAATTTACAAATTAACAATCTTTTTTAAAAATTTCAATCCCAGTAAAGTCATTAAAGAATCATGAATATCATGTAAGGTAAAATTATTTATTGTATTGATATATATCTTTTAGAGTAAATGTTCTAAAAAATAATCGAATGGTTAATGTCTCCTTACTTCATTTCTATTACTGCTTGTATTTGAAATATTTAATAATTAATTCATTAAAAATTATTTGCCGAAAGTGCTTTAAGGCCTTTTTATTAGTGTTAAGCATTTTTCATTTTAGTTCTACCTCCCGTGCTGGTTCCCAGACACAGTGAATATCCACCTGGTCATCCCATGTCCAATCCAATGGCTTCATTGTCAATGTCAGTGAATGTTGGACAAAACAGTATGTCTGACCCAACAATGCCTCACAATGTTAGCTTTTCCCCTCAAGGATTTTCATCCTCAAGTTCAAATAACAATGCTCTGTCTTCAGGTATCAGTGTTCCATCTCCACCCACCAGTCTCAGCTCTGCTCCAAACAGCCCATTCGGATTGTCAGGTAAATTATTCATCTCTCTAATTCAACCATGTAGCTGAAATAGCCATTGATACATTATTGAAAACAATCAATTTTACTGGGGTAGTTTTTGTGATTCTCACTTAAATTGGTGAATGTGTTCTGATTGGGGCAGTAGAAAATATGGTGCTTCGCCTGGGAGTGGTTCTGTATTTCAGGCTAGTAATGGTATGATTTTTTTTTTTTAAATCTAGTACTGTTAAAAAGATTCATCTCTTGCCTGTAATCAATGATATTTTTCAAGTACACTAAAAATATGATTAATAAATAATTTATTTCAAATACCAATCTAATTCACTTCACATTTAGTGAACCTACTGCATTATTTTCCCTCTGCTGCAGAGATAGGGTTCTATTGTTGCTGTAACAATAAAAATAGTCTAAAGCTGTTGAAAGAGTATCATTTATATTTAAATCGTCTACACATCTGAAAGTTATTCTTTTAATTTCATTGTCTTCGTTAGGTGTGAACTGTTATAGCTCACAAGAACCCAACTACGAGAAATATAAATTATAATTCAGTTTTATTTGAATTGCTCAGCCAGAAGAAAGTACTTGTAAATTTGGATTTTTGTGTGCAGTTTTTTTTACGGAATTTTTTTTTTTTTNTTTTTTTTTTTTTTTTTTTTTTTTTTTTTTTTTTTTTTTTTTTGAAATCCAATATCTTATTTTTAAATCTAAGATCCAATTTGCAATATTCTTATCTAGTCTGGTATTTGCAGAGAGTGCCCATGAAGAACAGGCTGTGTGTTGTTTGTGCCTGTATAGATATATATCAAATTTATTGGTGATAATGTATAAAAATGAATTATTATACATACGTTTCTTTCCAATAACTTCGTAATTGTTGAAATAAAAAGAAGAAAAAAATTAAGATCAGCGTGTTAACTTCTAATTTTTTTCTCAACATATCCAAATAAATATTTAGAAAGATAGTATTTGACATTTAAAGTGGTCTTTTTACGATTGTTATAAATTATTTATCCTAGCAGAAACACCTCCACCAGCCTATAGCCCTCAAGATGATTCACAACATGGAACAGAAAGTAATCATCAGTCTATGGATACTACCTCTATACCATCAGGTTTGTCTTTCTTTTATACTTAAGACTTGTTTAATTCTAGATGGGGTGGTTAAAATTGTTTTAATCCTCCCTTTTCTTCATTTTACAAGATTACTTCCAACTTAGATTTTAAATTCAAATTAAATTTATTAGAAAGTTATCAGCTTTTGTATAAAGAAAAAAGCTGTGACTAAAAAATTATGTGTCTCTTTTTCGTCAGATTTGTTTTTACTGTAGTTCTTATTATTTTAAGTGTCATAATCACTTCTATTTTAAATGATATTTGAGCAAGTTTAAGGTTTTTCATTTAGTTGGTCTAGAGCAGGGGTTTCCAACTTACATGAGGCCGGGGGCCGCAATTAAAAACACCAGTCACATGGCAGGCCACAACTTTATCAAAATTTTATATAGGACTCTTTTATGTTAGAAGGAACATTAAATATTGCTGTCAGATTTTTATAAAAGTTTTTTTAATATTAAAAAAAAAGACAAAATAACAAGCATTACAAATAATGCTAAAAAATTCTTGAGCATCTAAAATTAATTTTCTTCTTCTTTTTTCCGCCCATGCGATATTCAATTCAAGGAATTTAGATAAAACATGGTATTCATTCCCTCTTTTATGCACTATAAAATTTACTAATGAAAATAATTTCGTCTAAAATGAGTGGTTTCAAAAAGCTAAATTGGAGAATCTCTGATACGCACATGCTAAATTATATTCATAAAATAGAAATTAAAAAAAAAGAAAAGAGCAACATACACGATTATTTTTGTATTTGAATAAATATTTTCTTGGATGCAAAACCTGAGAAATAATTTTTTTTTGCACCCTTGGTATGTTAAATTTCACAGATGACAAAAAAAATGAGTTTTTTTTTTTTAGCAAGAAAAGTATTTTAAGCCCTTATCGATTTTTTACGAAAATTGTCCGCTATGAAAACTAACATATTTTAGTTCGCGGGCCACAAAAAAAGGCTTCGAGGGGCGTATGCGGGCCGCCAGTTGGAAACCCCTGTTCTAGAGCATGAAAATTTAGCTTTTTATTATTTTGACTATTTATTATGTTTCCTACAAATTTTTCAATTTAAAAAAAAACTTTAAATAAGGTTTCTTTTATTTGTACTTTTTGTTTATTTTTATTGTAATGTTTTCTAGATTGATTGGGTATTGTGAGTAGTAAGTTAGCCAAGGTGTCCCCCTATTTAGTTTTGTCTAAATTGTATATGTGTTTTTAACATACAACAAATATTATTTAAAAATGATCTTTTGAATTGGCTGTAGAATAAGAGAGGGTTTGCAAAGCTGTAGAAACTATGGAAAGTATTCTAAAGGCGTGTAAGTGGGTGACATTTGTTAAAAGTTAAAAATGTCATAAATATATTGTATTTTTGTAAATTTTTTATGCATTTCTTCTAAATCACTATAGCTGATTTCTAGTTAAGACCATCTCAATCGGTTACTACCAACTTGACCTATTTGCATTTGTTCTACTTGTGTTGGTTCTTAAAATATTTCTCTTCATTGCCAACTTATTTTGTTCACAACCTGCGTTTCTTGTTTTTCTCCATATATATGTAACAAGTCATCCTTGCTGGTCTTACTAAATTAAGTTCTTTAAATTATTGTTTTATTTCACTATTATGTCTTCTATTTTCTTTTCGTTCTAAGTTCACCAGTTTATTTTCATCTGATTTAATTATCATCCAACATTCACTACCATTTAAAACTATGAGTCAGACTTATGTTTTGTACATCTTTTGTTGCTCAAGTAGGGACTTGAAGCCAAATTTTTCAACTGAAAATAAGCAGCTTTCAAGCACTCAAAAATATTTGTAAGCATTTTAAAAAAAGCATCTTGTAATTAAGGTAATAAAAATCTTTCTTGCTATTGTTGAAATATCTTTATATTTATTAACAAAATTCAAAATAATTTTCAAAGACTAAGCGATCATGATAAAATTGAACTCTTAAAACTCACTAAAGAACTTTTTCTTGATTATATTAGTCACCATAAAAACAATTTATGCAAAATTATAAATATATTCAATATTAAGTAGCTCATTCTATTTTTTTTAATTAATAATTACTTTATTTAATTGTATACAAAAATTAATTCAAAATTATAATTAATTTAACTATTATTTAAAAAGGTTATCGAGTGATACTGATATCGACTGATTTATTTATAAAAGCGTATTCATAGCTGCCAACTCTTCCGGTTTAGCCGGAAGATTTCCGTTTTTTTATCGAAACTTCCGCTTACCAATTTTTTATTTTAATCTTCCGATTTTCCTCGATTTAAAAAGAAATAAATAAAAAAAAATTCCAATTTTTTAAAACAGAACCACGGTCCGACTTTGTACCCGAATGAATTTTTTAGAGCAGAATCAAATTCTTGCATCTTCTCGGCACATGCTCGAACAAGGGAGAAAATCAAAGTTATGACGCAGAAGTTGAAACACTCAGCTGCGTTTCCGAATCTGATTGGCGGTGAGAACGGTCCCTAAATATAGATCCGGGAGAAANTTTTTTTTTTTTTTTTTTTTTTTTTTTTTTTTTTGCGTCATAATCTACGTTTTTGAATCTTTTTAGTTTACGATTCTTTTTTAATTTATGATGTCGAAAAGATCTTATTATCAGCATTTTAAAGAGAGTTATTTGAAAGAGTTCAATTTCCTTCAGAAATCTTCTAAAGGTCTAACTCATGCTTTTTGTGTTCCTTGCCGATCAGATTTTTCTATATCGCATGGTGGTCGCAACGACATTTGTGCTCACGCTAAAACTAAAAAACACAAAAATAATTGGATCGCAGTTGAAAACAGTCAAAAGATTGATTTATTTGCTAAAAGTAACACATTAGAATGCCGTTACTAAAGCTGAATGTTTATTAACTGCATTCATTGTGGAACATAATTTACCACTCAGCTGTTCTGATCATGCAGGGCCATTATTCTGAAAAATGTTCCCGGATTCAAAAGTTATGGATGCGCTAGAACTAAAATATTTGCAATCATACAAGAAATTCCGTCTAAAAAAGAACTAAATTTGACAAAGTCTTTATGTTCCAGTCCTTAGACCGTTTCTGTGGACAATAGTAATGACAGTGATTCCAAACTGTATCCCATTTTTGTAAATTATTTCAATTTGCATCCAATGGATTCTTCCAAGGCTAAAGTTGACTGTGTGTTACTATCACTGCCAGTTTTAGTAGGGGATTCTACTGGTGTGAATATTGGTAATCTAGTCTTAACTAGCTTGAAATCACTTCACAGCATCCCCTTAAGTTGTGACAATGCTCCTATAATTGTGGGGCAGAAATCTGGTGCTTTTTCTGTATTGCAAAAAGCAAATACAAATATAGTCTTGCCTTGTTCGTGTAATAGAACAATAGCAACCATTGAAGAGTTTTTTTTAAAGAGGATTGCTCAAAGAAGAACAGTTCCTCATCTTTATCTTTGTATAAGATTCCAAAAGAGTGATAATATTAAAAGTAGTGATTCTTCAAGCTGCAACTCTACTGGATCTGGTTCTAAGAAAAGAAAAATTGACGAGGCGTATGCATTTGGAAAAGTTTCATCATCAATTCTAACTCGAGAGGAGAGGCTTTTTAATTTCTTTTCTTATGATTTAAGCAATGTCTTTTATTTATTTCTATAATGTTTTTTGTTTGATAATTTTATACATTTTTGCAATTTGATGCACCTCAGATTCATGTGCTGAGGTCTGCTCTTTTAAATTTAATGAAGGACTTTCTTGTCAGATTTGTAAAACCAAATATTTTACAAGAATGTCAAACTTATTTGGACATTGATTACAACAATCCCCTTAATCAGAAAGGAAAATAAAGATCTGATTGTTGGTAATTATGCTTCAGATATTGTAGAAAATCTTCCAGCTTCTGAAAAAGAGAAGTTTTTCAAAGCTGTTAGGAAATACTTCTGCACTGTATGCGATTATATCAGATTAAAATTTTCTTTCAAAAATGAAATTTTGTGCCATGCAAGTGTTACAGATCTTCAAAAGATTCAGGATGCTTCTTTTGCTGACATCAAATATTTAATCAAAGATTTCCCGTGATGTTAGCAAACACTGGTGAGGAGAAACATGTAATAATGGATAAATTGCAACAAGAACTGTGCCAATTGCAAATTAAAAAGAGTCTCGAAACAGTGAAAGAAGATAGAATGGACAGTCAATGGGTTTTTTTGGAGAACTGAAGAATGAAATGGGCCGATATAAATATAAAAACATTTCTAAATTTATGTTAACTGTGTTATCTTTCTCACATTCAAATGCAAAATGTGAACGTGCATTCAGTCGGGTTAAAAAAAAAAACAAGAACATAGTTTAGGTCATCTCTTAGTGATAATGTGCTAGAGAAAATATTACAAGCTGTTTGTAAAAATCAAAAAATTGCCTAAAATTGAGGATCTGTTGCAAAATTCAGCAGAGTTGCATGCAAGAGAGCAAGAATCCTCAGTATAATGCGGACCTGCAAGTATTTAAAATGATGGCGCTTTCCTACACTTCAAATCAATGGTATGCTGAAATAGATTGTGGTTAAATGAATTGTGAAAACGTTGAATGTTTCTTGCATAATTCTTGGCAAAAATTGATACACTCGTGGTAAAGATAAAATATCTCATTTTTTAAAACACCCAACAAAAAAAGCGCTTTTAAGGGCTTTTAAAATCGAAAATAAGCCCTTTTTAAAAACACTACACACCCTGACAAGTATTTTGATTTAAACTGGTTTCACTATCCTTTCAAGCATCTTTTAGCCTTATTCTATTATCCTATTTTTGATTTAAATATTTATATCATTATTTTTAATTGCACTTATGTGTAACTTTGCTACCTTCTCAACAACAAAAAATCATTTACGGTACCAGAACTATTTCCTGTTAGTCATAACCTGGAACTTTCTTAATTTACTGTTTAACTAATATATATTACTACCAACTTAAAAACTTGAGAATCTTCAATTATTTCCGTTCTCATTCTTCGTATAAGGCTAATGTCACTAGCAAATGCTAGCTATCGCATCAATATTTGTGTTTATATATTTTGTTATGTATATGTGTGCATATTTAACTATGCATTTCAGTTAAAGTTAAATGATTTACCTGGCTAATTAAATTAGAAGTGTCAATTTTTAAGTGAGAACTGTTTTATTATGCAGAAAGGAAACTTTATTTATGAAAGTAAATTTTACCTCAAAATATGAACATTTATTCACTGTTCAACATAGTCACTATTAACATTGAAAAATTTTTTAAGTCAGGGCACCCGCTTTTGAATCCCATTATCAAAGAACTTTGCCACCTGACTCTTAGTAAGATCATTTCCCAAGCGCTTTCCACCAATTAAAATCAGATGGAAGTTTGGTGCTTTTTGGAAGTCGGGGTTTTTACGATCCAAAACTTTTCCATTCATGACAATAGGCTGACCATGAATATTTGTTCTTTCTTCGTTATAAAGTCATTTATCCACATTTTCATAATTCATTACACCTTCACCATAAACGCCGGTGAACTTCGACAGGCAGGACAACCTTTTTTTTTTTCATTCACTAAACGCACTTCCCAATCGGCAGAATTACTGATTGACATGGTGACCATGCACCCAAGAACGGCAGAGGCATAAAACATAATTGATCAGTTATTTTGAACTTGAATGGAATTAATCCTTACATTTAATATCTTTTGTAAATCTTCTCCCATTCATAGTACTAATATAATTCTTTGCCTTTCAGATGCTGATGTATCTCCAGTCACCTATCAAGAACCACAATATTGGTGTTCAATTGCATATTATGAATTAAATTCTAGAGTTGGTGAAATTTTCCATGCTCAAAACCACAGTATAGTGGTAGATGGTTTTACAGATCCTTCTAACAATCAAAGTAGATTTTGTTTGGGACTTTTATCAAATGTAAATAGAAATTCCACTATAGAAAACACTCGACGTCATATAGGCAAAGGTATATTCCAGCATCTTCTTCAGCGATGCTTCGTTTTCTGAAACTTTTTTTTTCATGCTCTGGTGTCTTAATTTAGTAAATTCAATATAAAATTATTTTGCTCACCTCTACTTACAAATACTTTAAAAGTAAATTTGAAATATGCCTATTTGTTATTTTTTGGTTAACTTGTTAAAGTTTTAAAAATTAACCAATATTCTACCAATTTAAGTTTTTATTTCTTTACTATTTTATTAAATTTATTTATTTATTTATTTATTTTTTTTTTTTTTAAGCAAAGCAGATTTATCTGAGATTAAGATTATGTGAGTTAGTGCTGACTGGCAGATGTCATTTTATTCAAATGTTTTTTTTTTCTTCACACATTAAATTTAAAATCAGCATTTCCTGATTGCTAATTTGATTTCACTTAATTTTTTTTTATCTATGTAGTTTCTCTTAACCAATATATAAATTCCGAAAACAATTTATAAAAGATAGACGTACAATTTAATTTAAAGCCATTCGCATCTGCTTCATCCCCTCTGGATAAGGAATTTTGTGTAATTCAAATTATTTTCTAGTTATAGCTGTTTTTACGAAGAAAATTATCACAGTCAGTGGCATACGCAGAATTTTGTCAAGGGGGGTGTTCGTAATTTTCTGAAACTACTAAAAGAAATTCGAATCTGTAATAAAGCACTATCCCTAATTTAGACAGCTGGACAATTTTGACTTTTTATTTAGACAACATTGTTTAGTTAAATTTTGATTTGATTTTTTAAGTTTAAGAACATAATGTAATATTTTCTGAAAAAAGTTCAATGCCATATGGGTGGAAAGTAACACTTTGAGGGCCACTTTCACATTCATCAGATTTTGTTATGCTAGAAATGTTTTCTTTAACGGAAGTATCACATTTCGGTTCAACAGAAAAACTTACATTGGTACTAGATGCTGTCACTTCACTAATTTCAGGTTGTGATTTTTTCTCAAAATAATTAAAAATTGTTAAATTTTTGCGTTTAGACATCCTAAAGATCCAAGAACAGCAAAAATATATACGTATATATTGGCACAGAAATATCCACTATGCTACGATCTCAAAGTTTCGAGCTGGAATGAATAACTTCAGCGAGCACAGTATCTCCAATGGTATTGTTATTGATTTCTTCACTAGTCGAAATAGTGGCGATGACGGGTTCGGCGATTGAATGAACTTTTTGTTAAGACAAAACAGATTTAACAACAAGCGACAGAGATAACTCGTAGTCTGACTAACTAACTCCACTATACTCCGTTCCCCCTTTTATGTAATTTTTCATCGCATCTCCAAAATTCTCGAATTGTCTGAAAGACGACAGAAAGTCTAGGATTCCAGAATCATCACGTAAAGACCTCGCGAATGACAGCCAGTCTCGAAAACTATACTGGCTGGACAGAAAATAACCAGTCCGTAACAGTATCACGTGAATTTGGTTTCAAAAGTACAACCCTATTATAGTAAATGTTTTTTCAGTACTCTGAGAAGTACCGTGAGAAAAAAAAAGTAGGCATAAGGCTAATAAACATTAGCATTAGCTTACATTTTAATAACAATATTTTGAATAAAAAATAGTTTCTGATTATGTGGAAAATGTTAACAGTAAAATTATGGCATAAAATTTTTGGTTTTATTTTTGTGTATTTTCATCTGTTTTGTAAAAACATTTCTGTAGGATTATTAGTTTCTCAGATTTTTTTCCCTTTAGTAATACATTTTATGAATAATATACTAAAATCTACAAATGTTAAAAACCTTAACATATTATTTTTATGAAAAGAAAAAATAAAGTATGCTTTCAGACGTGCCAACTCTCCCGCATTTTGCTGGAGTCTCCCGAATTTTGAGTTATTCTCCCGCCCTCCGCAATTGATTCGAAAAACGCCAGAATTTTACTGCAATCGACGGCCAAACTTAAAATTACCTATAGTTGGAATTGATATTGTATCTAGCTGTTTTTATAGCGTTTAGTGCATATTTTTCCATGGTTGGCAACATTATTCTTTTAGGCTTCGTATATTAAAAATAATTTTTTTTTTTTTAAAAGATGTCTTAGTCGAAACAGAAGTATGCAACCAACTTCAACAAATCATGTACCAATGACTTTAGAAAGACTTAATTGCGAAGAGCTGAATCTGAAACTCTTTTTTTTTTTTATGCATATAGTAGAGAACCATTTATCCGGTATCAAGATTATCCGAGGGGAAATTTTGCTCGGTTCTCCCGCCATTTAGAACTAAAACGATATGGAAAAAAAAGCGGGAATTGGACTCATCCTTGAAGTCGAGTAGAAGAAAATGTGAAGTTGAGTAGAAGAAAATGTGAAGAAGGGAAGAATTTTTTTCCCTGTTTTCCCAGAGAAACGTCATTTCTTCCGCGACCTTGAAGATTTTAGATCTTGATTTTCTCCTTTAGGCCGTCAATCAAACTCAAAGGAGTGGCATGCTGATTTCGTTTTCTGTTTGATTTACGAGGGGGTGGGGAAAATGCATTGCACATGCATATCAGTGAACAGAAGATGAAAGAGAAAAACGTATTTATCTATTTAACATCGATTAATAAAAATAAAATATTTTTCTTTTGAATCAATTCTGATTCTTTGGAAGTGCGGTATCATTCGCAAGTTTTTCTTGATGTGGAATCACACTTGCTTTAATTGAAAATCATGTTTTCATAAAAAAATAAATAAAAGGATAATTGTCTTTTAATTTAAACATACAATTATTTTATGAAGCAGATTGCAGTTTTGTTTTTCTGATTCCACTACGTTTGATTATTTTTTTATTTTTTTTTTCCTTTTCATGATAAATTTTGCACGCAATAAATTATTTTTAATCCTAAATTTTATCATTAGGTTTTTTTTTCCGTTGATCTTGCCTTGTTCCAGGCTTTAATATTTATGCTAGTGCCTTTTTTTTAACTATCGTTTCGGTTCGATATTTTTTAAGTGTTGTTTATATTTAGATTAATAAGTATTCCTTTTATTTTATCGTCCCCCCCCTTATAATTAGGTATGAAATATATTGTGTTATTTAATCATTGGTTTTGTTTATTAGTTAATTTAGGAATTGCAATTTATTTTTTAAACTTGTTTTTCTTCTCTAAACTTGCAAATTTTTTTATTCTTTTAAATGATATTTTTCTACAATTTTTTTCATTTTTAGACTTAGGAGTGCTTTTCTTTTTTCTCTTACTTTAAAATGTGTTTACACTTTTTCCTTGTAATTTGGGTTTGATAAAACATCGATTAACGACACTTTTTGGTCGATCCAGAAAACCAGGAGATTAAGACATCCGGGATAGCGATGGTCCCGAGCATTACGGATAATTGGTTCTCTATTGTACAGATTTTAGTATTATTATACATTAGTATTGAATTTGTTTTTTAAAATAAAATAGTTCTTCAATTTATTTATTTTTTAAAAGTTTTTGTGCATTTTTATTATAGTGTCTAGGGTTTTTGCATAATGTTTTATTAAGGAAATGGTATTTATTTTTTTAATTAAAAGTATCTACCTAATGTAGTTTTGTGTTGCTAAATCTGTGTTTCCATTTAATATTTTTCAACTATTTTTGTGCTCTATTAGTGTGTAAAATTTCTTGCATTCTTATATTTAATAAAATTTTTACTTAAAATTCCTTAGAAGTGTCAAATGTTGCATACCGTGCACCTTTTTTTACCCCTTCTGAATTCTTGTTAGGGAAACTCCTGAATGATAATTTTGCTAGGTTGGCACGTCCAGGCTTTTGATTAATATTTTCTGGTTGTAGATAAAATGCCATCCTATTTTAAAGTTAGAAAAATTAAAATTTAATCTATATAGCTATAGTTATTGATATTATGTTGTGTATAGATTTATTATATCATATTTCCTGTGTTTTCAAACACTTTTTCTTTGTTTCTTAGCACAGTTGTAGAGCCTACTTTTTATTGAGTAGTGTTTTAGGTACACTGTGCAAAATAAATTGCTCTGCCATTTTTCATTGAGATAACTAATTTTTTTTTATCTTACATTGTGGCATCAGCATATATTCAAGCATCTTAAATTGTATATAGTCAAGCTTTGGCTTGTGGAGATTGAATGGTTTAAATTAATTTAAATTTGTTGGCTATATTAATTTGAAAATCTTGTACTATGTTCAATGTGTATTAAATAAATGCTAAAAATATTTACATAGTATATAATTTTAAGTAATATTTGCAAGAACTTATTTTTTGTTATACGATCTATTCTAAAATATTGAAATCAATTGGGAATGTTTTGGAATACTTTCTTCACATTTTCCCCAGTGCCAACCATTCTAAAAATTTTAATATTGGAGATTTTAAATCTATAAATATATTATAAATTAAATTTAGAAATTTTTATAATAAATTTAAATCCATACATTTTTATAACAAAAAGCTTTAAAAAAAAAACATCCAATAGATGAAATATAAAAAAATAATTAATTTTCTAGTTTTGATAAGTTGTTTGTTTCAGGCATTCACTTGTACTATGTAGGAGGAGAAGTCTATGCTGAATGTCTAAGTGACAGTGCCATTTTCGTCCAAAGTAGAAATTGCAATCATTCTCATGGATTTCACCCTACCACAGTTTGCAAAATACCTCCAGGGTGCAGCTTGAAAATTTTTAACAATCAAGTGAGTTTTTATTTTACTCATACTTACTCCGTGGCAAGTTCAGATATACTTTTATTTCTAACAGAAGTATTAGTTTACAATTTATTAATCAGTTAAGTCCTTAAATTTTGAATAGCATTCTACCTACAGGATAATTCAGAATTGCTCAAGCAGGTCAAACCAGAGTTGAGCAAAATGTGATTGATTTCAAATAATCAGGATTATAATTGAAACTATGATTATTATCTTAATTTATGATTCTTATTGTCTACCAAAATATCAAATAAACTGTATTTATTGATATGTGGCAAGCTTTATGGATAGAATTTACTGTTCAAAAGCATGTCATTATAAGCTCTGTTAAGGATTGAGATGTCATCGAAAGCATTATTAATTACAATAATTATCAGAAACAATATCGTGATTGCTAATTAAAGTTAATGAAAAGATTAACAAATTTAAAAGTATTTTAAATTAAATTGTAAAGAAATATTGCGTCGTACAAGGACTATTGTTGTTTTTTCGCTGCGTAATATTCATAGACAGTCTCTTGAGAATATATCGTAATTTTAAAATTCCCATACTGCCCGAAGCTGGTGCATCGTAAGATATTTACCTATAACAAATGCACTAAAGAGCTACTGTATTTTGCAACTTATGTAGACTATTTTAAGTTAATGTATTAGCTATCTGGCCACAGAGTTCATATTTTTTTCAATTTCCAATTCTTGTGATTAACTTTTTTCCTCCATCACATGTAATACTATATTTCAATAATTTCCCAAATTGATCTGTCAATGCACGTCAATTGCTTTTTATTTTTATGACGTGCTAGTAGATGTGTTCAGATTGTTTTATTTTTTGCTTCAATCATATAAATTTTTTTTAATCATATGATGTTCCAGGAATTTGCTCAACTTTTGACTGATGCTGTAAACCATGGTTTTGAAGCTGTCTATGAACTGACTAAAATGTGCACCATCCGCACAAGTTTTGTGAAAGGATGGGGTGCGGAGTACCACAGACAGGACGTAACTTCAACACCGTGTTGGATAGAGATTCACTTGCACGGTCCTCTACAATGGTTAGACAAAGTCCTTACTCAAATGGGATCTCCACAAAATCACATATCGTCTGTATCATGACGAAAATTCAACTGTAGTCTTAAAATAGCTCATGGGAAGTGCTATCAATATTTTTATGTTTTAACTCTCTGCCATACATTGCATCTAAGAGTGCTTTAGCAATGTCAAATGCTCATAAAACAAACATCACACATTTTATATATAATCACCCATGATTAAGTTTCCCCCCCTCCTTTTCTTTATAAATTTTGGTTTATTTTGTTGCATTTCATTCTTCCTATCTGGAATCCATACAATTTCTTTTAAAATTGCATTTTAACATAATAATACAAAACTTTTAAATTAGCTGTTATATTTCATTAAAAAAATTTTTTATTTCCTTTCATAAATGGTTTTACATTCATTGCTTTTATTTTATATATGCATTTTAGAATATAAAAAGGTGAGCATTTTTGTATTTGAATTGCAGTTTTTATTTTACATTTATTTTTTTCCTAAAAAAAATCTTTGAATTGTGCATTGCAAGTTCTAAGATTAATTTAAAACTAAGCAAGTTTCCTTAAATGCTTAGAGGAAACTCTAGTATTTTAAATGTGTAATCTGGGCTCAAAACGAGTTACAACAAATGCTGAGAATCAACATTCTGTGATCTCTATAGCAAACTTTTCCACACATAATGATTATTCCTAATAAAAATGGTTTTCTTTTATTGCCAAAATTGAATAGAAAATGTTATAAGTGTTCCATACCAGTGTTTGTAATATTTAAAATTCATTTCAGACTCTTAAAAATTTTGTCTTATTTTGTTCAAAGTTTTTGTATTGCAGTTCAAGTCACTCATTAGATATACTCTTCTGTAACATCTTTATTTTAATATATTAAACTATATTTTAATTGTAATTGGTAATAGTACGGAAATATTACTGTATCATAGTTCATTATATGTGTATATGGATAGTTCATGTTGTATGATACATAGCTTATGTAATTTTGAAATGTTCATAATTTCTATTGTGGTTAGATTTCATGTTCTACGAAGGCAAACATACTGATAAATGAATGCAATTTCTCTTTTCATTATAAAATTTTGTTTTGATATGTACTTTGAAAAATATTAGTAAATTTTTCTGTGACTTTTATCAAAGAGTTTTTGAATGTAAGTCATTTAAATTAGTTTTTAGATATGAAATTTTGTTTTATTAAGAAATGCCAGCTGAAGTTAAATTTTTTAAAATTGGTGGGACCTTGTATTAATCTGGAACTTCTAATAAATCTTACACTAAAATTTGTTTTATGCATTCCTGTGTGTCAAATTAACTTGCCATTTTTTGGTAGTAGCTTTAAGTATTGTGTGAAATCTTTAAAAAGGAAAAATTGTTGTTGCAATAGGTACCATACTCTGTTCATTCACTTCATTGGTACAAACCTTTTCCTCTGCATATGATTTGATCTCTTCTTTTAGCGGATTTATTGTATGGTTTCAGCCTTTTAATTGTGGAATTCATTAAGTTTGTGTTTCTTTTTAAATATAAAATAACAAATGAAAAGTTACTTTAAAACTTATCATGAAGAGTCAGAGCATTTACATAATTGACTCCTTATTTTCTTTCAGGCTGTTATTTTTATTAAATATGAATTTGCATGTTAAATATTTGTTTTGCATTTTATAAATCTTATTTTTAATCAAGTTTTTAATATTTAAATGTCAACCAAATATATATTTTTTTAAATTATCACTCCTCATAAATTATGGTATCTTTTCACTATTAAGTTTTAGATACACAGTAAATAATAGTTAACTGTTGCTGTATGAAAAAGAGTAATGTGTGTAACTGTAGCTGAATAAATTTTCAGACATTGTTTTATATATAATTGATATTAAATACATTAGAAAAGTGATGAAATATAACTATTTCAATTTATTCAATCGGTTTTAATAACCTGTAGTTAAGCATCATTTCTGCTACATTTGTTATTTTTCTTAATATAGAAAACATATTTTGACTCTACACATTATTTTGCACTAAAAACATATACAATTAGTAAGTCTGTGAAAATGTTGCACTGTAGTTGCATAGCTATTTTATGAAATCTTTTAACTAAATGCAAAGTATATATAGCTGCATATATGCTTACGTGTGCCTATCTATTGCCGAGTACAATTGCTCTTTTTATAGCAATCTTAAAAATTATTTTTATTGCTGTTATGCTCTTTTATTTGCATTGAAGTGGACTTAGCATTTATAAATCTTTGTACATATATTTTTTGCTAATGGTTTATAAATATATTTATTATTGATAATAATATCCTGCCAAAGAAGTATATTTCTTAAATTAAAATGATTGAATATATTTTATATGTTCAAAATGTATTTTTAAATAGAATGAAAATGAGTGGGTTTTCATTAATCAATTTTCTTCTGCAAGCCATTTTTTTTCCATAAAATTTCCAAATACTTTTTAATATTAAAATTGCCTTTCTTATGTCTGTGAATTATGAGATTTTCAATGTTCAAAATAATTTTTATCATATACTTTTCGTATTTTAAAACTTCATAGTTTTGTGTTTATTATTCTTTTACTGTGTGCCTTTAACTTTCATCGTGACGAGGTTTCGATCATAAGTATTCGTGCCTTGTTAATTTCATTTGTATGATTTCATTTTAGTTTTATTTCTGTTAATTCAATCTAAATAACTCTTTTAAAACATAATTCTTAAAAATCCTCGACACATTAATTTTCAAAAAAAACTTTATGTAAAAGTTTTGCATTTGTTTTTAAAATTATATAAAATATATTAAATGTTAATAAAACGTGTGTGACCAGTTTTATTTTAAAATGTAACAATCTTGTAAGATACAGATTTAAATTATATAAAATGTGTCTTTTTAGAACTCTCTTGCCCTGATCACTTGTTAACTATTTCTGAAATAAGAACCTGTGCACAATTTGTAGTATGTTGAGCTAGCTAAAGTTGAGATTCAAAACTTAAATTCCTGTACTGTACCAGGGTTGATGCAAACGAATGCTTACCATTAAATCTCTCTATATATATGATAAATTAGAAAATTTTCTTACAACTATTAAGTTACGTGACATGCCTATTTTCCCCCATTATTAAGTTAGGTATTGACCCTTGGGACTTACTTGCAGCGTGTTTAAAAAATTTGGAGACCTCCTGCTGTGAGTTCTGAAAGGATTTTTATTTGCCATTACCTTGACTATTTTTAACGAAAGAATTTAGAGAAAAAATAGCAGTGGAAAAATCTCAAATGAAAATGGATACCACTTACAGATTTGTAACACACCTTAACATTCTTCTATTTTCTAGTTATTTAGTGTATTGGCTCTTGTGAAATTGATTGTGTGATGTGGAAGATCGTAGAAGTAATCCAGAACATAAAGTATGTTCAAAATGAAAAATGATTGCTTTTGTTGAGTGACGTTTGCACAACCTTGCTATAAGAACATTGCTGGATTACTGTCGATGGAATTGTGTGCGTGCAATAAGAATGTTGCAAGTGATATATTTTACTCCTTAGTTTCACTTATATTATGTAGAGCATGCCAAATTTTACTTTGATTGCCACATTCAAATGTTTAATAATTAAAATTGATTATTTATGTGCTTTCAAACTATTGTTCTGAGTCAGTAATGTTCTGATTTTATGTTTGCTAAATTTTATTTTTATTGTTGTGCTTGTCTTTGTTTTAAATGACATTCCTCATCCATCGGACAACGTTATTTCTATCGCAATAAATGTTCACATGATTTGATTTCAATAAATCTGTACTCATAACCTGTCTAATTATTGAAATTTTATATTTTGTCTGTGTAAGTTTATTTACTGAAAGTTCATTAAAATTAACATTGTGTCCATAATTAATAGCACTTGGGCGCAGACAAGACACTGGTCCCTCTTTTAGATTTTTTTTTCCTGATCCTCTTATTCCAAGTAAAAATATATTTTTTAATTATAAAAAATAGTCTAATAATTAAACAATCTATTGATTTTGTAAGTTAAAGAAATTTCAATGAGTAAATACTGTTTCTCATATAGCTAAATAAGTGCCAAATTTTAAAAATTATTGTTTGGAAGTGAGCCGTGTCTAGAAAATTTTACCTTTAACGCAAAAAGGGTTACCGTTGTCCCCGTGCTATATTTCATACCAAAAATTATTAAAATTCTAAATGTAATATTGTTTCATTTGTTTTGATTTTCACAGGACTGTTTTTATGTTTACACGGGCACCAGGCGTTTTATTATTTTGGGGCATTTTATAGGTAAAATTAAAGAAAAAAATTTTTATTTTGAATAATTTATAAAAATTATAATTCATACAAAGTAATGAAGAAAAATATATCAAATACAAATTTTGCATGAAAGGGTTAATTGACCTGAAATTTTAAAAGAATGATGTGGCTATAAATAAAGCTGGAGAAAGATGGTTTCTTTAGATTTAATTTTTTCTTTTTAAAAGTTGTAATTAGCAAACAATCATATTAAGATTATTTTAAGTTGATGTTGAATGTCATTTCTGCTATAAAAACAAGTAAGTTAGTAAATATATAAAGATTTGTTTTAATGATTTTATACTGCATGCTCTGGAATTGTTTTTATTTATTCAAAATTTTTAAGAAGTTCATTTTTAAAAATTGATTTGGAGATTGAATTAGATACATAAAATACTGTAAGTTTAGGTGACTGGAATTTAATAGTGAAAAAAAAAAATTCTGTATATATAGCAATAAGTTCAAATTAAAAATATTTTTATTAAAAATTTACACAGTACAATTTCATGATGAGATATCTAAGTAACATGGGAAGCTCAAGTAAAAAAGATGAAAGACATTGCAACCGATTTGGCCATAATTATAAGCATAATTTATCAGTTTCTGTTCGCTAATAATGGATTCATTCTAGCTCAGAGATAAATAAAAAGAACCAAATCTCCTGATAGGACATCAGTATTCTCACGAGGTTGATAAAGAAATTGTGAATTGCTATAAATGACTGATGTTGACAACTTTAACTAACATCTATGGATTATTTTCAAAGACATCTATGGATTATTTTCAAATTGAAAATCAATAATTTCGTTATTTGTATTCATAAGGAATAAGAAGCTGAATTTTGAATGATAGTGTACTAAAGAGGAAAAACATCTATTTTATAAAAATGACTAAAAACTTGAAAGTATTGACAGCAATTCAGCAGAAGTTCAAATCATGAACTGCGAAAAGTTACTTGTGAGAAATGTTTTGCTATTCTGTACACATAAGGAAAAAAAAAACACTGCTGTAGATCCACAGGAAAGTGCGAATTCATATTTTAGTGTTTTTGGTATTAACCAAGCATCAATGCTTTTAGCAAAAATGACCAAATTTGCAGATTGAACGTTATGCCAAAAATGTTTAAACATTAAGTAGGTTATTGAGTAAATATATACTTTTATGTTACAGTGGTGTTTTCTCTGAACCCAAATTATTACTATAAAAATCCAGTTTATCTAAGAGTTTTATTTTCCCTCACAGTTTTTTTTTTTTTTTTTGAACTTCAAAAAACTTAAATGTTGTACTGAAAAATAGTTTTTACCCATTCTGAGAACCAGAGATAGAAGACACTTTTTTCGCCCTAATTTCTTCTATAAGACTTAACAATTCTAAAATTGCAAAAATTTGTTATCCTGGACTACTAATTTTACAAAAGGGATTAAAGCATCTTGTCTATACAATTCGTTATGATTAAAAATTGATTGATTTGATTCCTATTATGAAGGGGGAATTTCTTTTTTTAGCTAGTACAATCAAATCTTGTAAGATGAACATAAGTTTCCAAAACTTTGATCTCTTTGTTTAGTTATTTCATATTATAATCCAAATAGTTAAATTACAAAATTTTCAGTATGGAGAGCTGAAGTTTTATTTGCAAACAATTTTTGAAAATGTTTAGTTACATTTAAAAGTAGTGAAACACTTTAAAATATAAAGATTGATTTTTAGAAATTACTATTTCAAACAATATTAAATCGTGAGATTGGCTCTTAGAAATAATTCCAATTGAGAGTTCGATAAACAATGACAGTTTTTAAACTTTTATTTAATATATAATTATTGTTATGTGATGAACCATAATGTAAGTAATTGTTATAATATTCAATATTTTCTTTTACACAGATATAAATATTTGTCAAAATTATTTTCATAAGATCAAAAACCTCTTTTTAACGGCTACAGGTCGTCTGTCCATCCTAGGATTTTCCAACCTGAAGATGGGGTAGAGGGTCATAACAATAGATTTGATCCGTCAAAGGGGAAAAAGTATTGTTGTGAATAGATCTTTGAAGTGGGGACTCTTGAAATTTAACAATTGTCCATCACCAAAAATTTGGCGAATGAAACTATTTAGCGACCCCTAAAGATCGGGTTGAGTAAAAAGTTTTCCGCCAAAAAAAAATCCTGAAAAATGACAAACACATACAAAATCAGCAAAGCTAATGAGAATAGTTATCTCCATTCAAATCAACAATAGTCTGCCAACGTTTTGGCAACTTTTCATTCCCTTCTGCGAAGAACTGGGGGGTGCGCGAGTAGAGAAAGCAATCGACCTCATTTATGACCTCGTCATTTGAACGGAAGATTGTGCCATCAAGATGCAGCTGCAGATTTGAAAACAGATAGTAATCCGAAGGCGCCATGTCTGTGCTGTATGGTGGATGTTGCATCAAATCCCACTCTAACGTGTGGAGCGTCATGCCGGTCATTGCACTAACATGTGGCCAAGCGTTATCTTGATGAAAGAGAATCACCTTCCTTCTGAGCTCGTTTTCTCGTTTTTCGCGAATCGCATCGCTAACTTTGATTAGCATATTGCTGTATATTGTACTGTTGATAGCGTACCCGCTTTTAAGGTACTCCTTGTAGATAATTCCACGACAATCCCACCAGATACGGAGAAGGACCTTCTTGTTAGTTAGCGTTCGTCTTGCAACCGAACTTGCGGATTCCCCGGATGCTGACCACCCTCCTCTACGGTTAGTATTGTTGTAGTATACCCATTTTTCATCACAGGTCACAATTCTGTCCAGAACGTCCTCTTTTCTTTGATCTCTGAGCAGAACCAAACAGGCCGCTCTTCTCTTGCTCTTGTCTTCAGCAGTCAATTCGCGAGTCACTCAACGGTTAAACTTAACTGTTAGATTTATGCGTTTGAGAGTATTTGCTATTGTTTTTTGGCAAATGTCAAGCTCTAACGCAATAGTTCGTGTTGAAAATTTCTGTCTTGAACAATAATTTGCTTTAACTGGTCACAATCAACCTCAATAGGGCGGTAAGAACGTGGTTCATCTTCAATGTTAAAATTCCCAACATTAAACTTTCGAAACCAAACTTTTACTGTATCCTCATAAGAAACAGTATTGAAACCTAAACTTTCACACATTTTCTTGTGGCATTCAGTTACACTTAGTTTATTTCGGAACTCGTAGTACATAATGGGTCTGATCTGTTAACGTGATAGCTCCATTTTAAGAAATTTTTTGGCGCACAAAATGATAAAGTTTTGACAAACAAATTACACAGTTGTGTAGTTCCAACTTTCTGCTTTAAAAAACAAAAGCCAGTTTCAAAAAAAGTTAACCATCACGGCAATGGCTGCTGCTAGCACGGAGGTATTTCCCTTTGGCGGAAAACTTTTTACTCAACCTGAGATTATTTATTGAAAACAGGAATTTTTTTGTTAATTACTTGAAGGTTCATTACAACAATATTGCTTCGTTTAACAACTCCTATCCATCTATCTCAATCATTTTAGTTTTGTTTCTTCCTAAAAATCGATTAAAAAAAAGATTTTGTTTTTAAAATTCTCGTTACTCTTTTAAGCACATTTTGTTAAGATTTAATTTTATTTGTGAAAAATTTATAAATATAACTTTCTAGCATATAACTGTTAAAATTAGAAAATGTTTATATTTAATTTGAACCGTTTATATTTTTAAAAGTTTCGATAAAAATATTAACTTTCAACAGCATGAAATCATTGTTTTATTAAAATGTTTCAGTTTTTGTAGCTTTTGACATGAAGTCAACTGTTAGTACTCTCGTCCAAAATGTAAATTTCAAGAAAAAGAAGAGGGAAAAAAAGAATGGTTTAATAGAAATTATTCAACTTAAAATTGCCCTTTATAATTTCAGTTACGCAAATATATATATATGACTTTTGCTTTTAATACAACGTTCAAATATATTAATATATATATATTGATATTAAGCTATTAGGAATTGTTCAGCACTCCATTATTTAAATTGCGCTAGAAAGTTTTAAGACTTTACGATCTGAATAAAATAGTTTTGAAAGGAAAAATATTATCTATTTTTTATTTTTAGAGACAATTATCTATCTATATATATATATATAGTTGAACGTTTGCCATTTTTAAAAATAGTATGGTGTATGTATACTGTTTCAAAAAAAATATGACGCGATCGTTTTTTCTTTGATGGACTACGAGGCCTGAGTTGCTTGAAACTTTTTGAATTTTCAATTCCTTTTTAGCTCATGCGCAGCATAAAAGAACTACTTGAAATACTCATATCTTGCGCAGTTTTTTGCAATTTTTTTTTAAATTTTAAAGTAATACTTTTGTAATTAATTTTAAATTGCAACAAAAAGTTGGTTTAATTCCATTGAATATTTTTTAAAGTTATAGCAAAAAAATTAGCTTTTTTTTAATTAAAAAAACCCATCATATCTCCAGTAATATTAACGCTAGGTTTACAAAATGTTATGCAGTTACTAAA